GAGAATCCCCTCCCTCGACCTGCTGGCCACACTTCTCTTGATGCAGCCCAGGGTACGGTTGGCCTTCTGACAATGGCACTTCTGCCTTCTGCAAGTGCACATTGTCGGCTCATGTTGAGTTTCTCGTCAACCACCACTCCCAAGTCCTTCTCTTCAGAGCTGGCCTCAAGCCACTCATTGCCCAGCCTGTATTTGTGCTTGGGGTTGCCTCGACCCAGATGCAGGACCTTGCACTTGGCCTTGTTGAACTTCACGAGGTTAGCACCGGCCCACCTCTCAAGCCTGTCAAGGTCCCTCTGGATGGCATCCCTTCCCTCCAGCGTGTCAACCACACCTGCTGAGGGTGCACTCAGTCCCACTGTCCATGTCACTGACAAAGATGTTAAACAGCACCGGTCCCAGTACTGAACCTTGAGGGACACCACTTGTCACCGGCCTCCATTCGGACTTTGAGCTGTTGACCACAACTCTTTGAGTGCAGCCATCCAGCCAGTTCCTTACCCACCGAGTGGTCCATCCATCAAGCCCACATGTTTCCAATTTAGAGATAAGGATGTCATGTGGGACGGTGTCAAACGCCTTGAAGAAGAAGACTGCGTAGCTGCGGTGTGGGCAGCACTAACTTTATTAGCTGTGCAGCTAATAAGAGAACTTGGAAGCTTGAAATGGAGTTTTGTTCCCAGGTCTGAGCATGCCATATCCAGCTCTTCACTTAACCCTCCCCTAGGTGCTTGTGGTAAGCACTGAACTGCCTCTGATCCTGTGGGGATAGTTTTTAAGTGAAAAAACAGCATTTAGTAAACTTCTGTTCCCAGTTTGGACCAACTGCTCCCTGCTGTTCTTTCTGGGGGAGTGCTGTGGCCCTTCCAGCAAAGCCCTGCTATGTTCCCTGTTCAAGGCATCGCTGTAAAGCAAGAAACTGGATTATAGGTTCATACTTGGGATTTGTTGTCTGCAGTAACGTCTTCCAAACTGGAACCTGCTGCCTTCTCAGCTCTTCCATAAATCTGAGATGTACTGGTCACACTGGGCAGCAATACTTCCAGGAGGATGTCTAAAATATAGCGATGCCCTCGGGGATGACTGTCTCTTCAGTAGTTGGTGGTAACAAATATCCCGTATTGCAGATTTCCGTTACTGTGTCAGCATCTCTCTGTCTAAGATATCACGTGTTCAGAGACAGCAAAGATTCATTGCTGTCCTGCTGGCTAGGCCTGAGGAAGTAAGAGGAAGACACTCTTCAAAGTGTCTCCTGTTGGAGGTGATCGGTGTGTGTGCCCGATGAGAGCTGATTCACTCCTCTTGTGTACCTGGCAATCTGTGCTCATTGCTGGAATAAGCATTTTAGTGAAGAATAAACTGTAATGTTAATCTCACAAATCTGCAAATTCCCTCAAACCAAACAAATTCAAATACAGCAACAGGCCTGTGCTGCTCTCCTCCTTGGGAGGTCATTACCTCTTGTCTTGGCTTGAAGCACACCACATTGCCTTTCTCTGCCCCTAAAAGCATGTGACTCCTGATGCAGAACTAGTTTCAACAACTAGCTGGGCTGGGTTTTGCTAGCAGGGTTCTCCATGCTCAGGGGGTGTTAGCTGTTCCCTTTCGCTAGCTGCTGTGGATTGCTCTTGGGCTTCACTGAGGTCTCTGTAATCACTTATTCTATTATTTTTTTTAATTCTCCGTGGTTCTGTTTTTAGGCACGAGACCAGCTGAACAATGCCCTGGAGCTCAACAGACATGATCTGACTTACATGATGCTGGGGAAAATTCACCTATTGGAGGGGGAGACGGATAAAGCCATTGAAGTCTATAAAAAAGCTGTAGAGTAAGAATATATCCCTTTTTTTATCTACCCATCCAATGCCAGGAGAAATTTGATTGGTGTCCCAGATCTGAATTGAGGACATGATTAAAAAGCTAATGGTAATTATAGTATCTCTGTGCAAAGCTGGCACTTTCAAGCTCTTCAGCTGTCTCTGCTCTCAGCTGTAGTCCTTCTCCTGCTGACAATATGTCAGGGAGGAAGGTAGCTGTTTGAAGGTCTGCCAAAAAAAAAAGTGGAAAAACAAATGGACAGAGATGCCTGGGAGCAAACCTATCCAAAGCTGGCTTCTTAAATCCCAAAGGTTTATCTAGCAAAAAGATCTAACCTCAGGTGTCTCTGTAACCCTGATCATCTGTCAAAAATCAGTTGTTGGGTTTCACACACTGTTTTCTGTTGGAGTGGTTAGTGTTTGGAAGCATGTCAGTAGGCAGCCTAGAGATGGTTTGGTGCATGATGAGTTTCTTCTGCTACGTCAGTGTTTCTCTGTCCCATCTATCTTGGTTTAGGG